CGTGTACACGCTCTCACGCGTTCCAGCATCCACGCACAGTTATCAACGTTTTGCTTCCCACGTACACGCACTGCACAAACAGGGCAGCCGCAGCCGCGGTCGCACCTGGTGGGGGCAGCCGCTGGGTATGAACACCGCCTCACGGGGCATCTGCTCAAACGTCCAGGCCTCCACGCCCGTGTCTGCCTTCAGGCCCTGCCGCGGTCAAGATGCGGGTGCAGGGGGTGAGGGGGGCAGCAGAGAGCGCTAGGGGGATTAGTGCTGCGAGAGTCGCCGGAAAAGGGCGGAGGCCGCTGCGCAGACTCCGTACGGCAGGCCGCGGCGGCGCCTGGCATCAGCCGGGCCCGTTCAGGGTCGCAGCAATCTCCAAACCTTTTAGAGAGATTGTGCGCAGAGCCTTTGATTGACTATGGCTCCCCTGCCTTAACTCAGACCAACCACTTTACGAGAACCACCCAAAACATAGCCATGCGGCCCCTCCACTGGCAACGGGTGCGCGCAGCCAACGCACTCACTCGACAACCTGGACTGCACACCCAAGGTCAACCCACACTGATCCAGAGCGACAATCCCACCCCTCCCCCAACAAGCAAGGGCTGCCACCCGTCTGTGGCGGTCCACCAGCATGAACCGCTGACTCAGCACCGGCGCCTCCGCGTCGGGGCCGGCCCCCAGGTAGCCCGCCACACCCTCGCCCTCGTGGGTGAACTCGGCCGCGTGGGCCCGCAGCCAGCCGCACAGCGCGGGCACGTCCTCGCGCCGCAGGATGTCCCACACCGCGCCCGCGCCGTTGTAGCTGAGGGGGCGAGGGTAGGGAGGTGCAGGTGAGAGTTTGCTTGTGCGTGTATGTGTTGTGTGTGTGTGCGTGTGTGTGTGTGTGCATGTGTGAGCGCGCACGAGCGCATGCACGCTCGTTCGCTATGTGCTGTGCGAGAGCTGAATCTTGCAGTGTGCAGGCTGGCCACCACCGTCTCGACAGCCGTCACTCTCCAGGGTAATGGCCACAGGTCACCAGGCGGTCGCATCTCGAAGAAACCGCAGCACCCACGCCACCCGTACCCCTGCCCGGCCGCATGAGCCTCACCCTGGGAGCTCTGGCGCGTCGTCGCCGCAGCGCGCCGGGCCTGGGCCGCCGCCACGTGCGTACTGGGAATGCAGCAGGATGTTCACAGCATCTGGGGACGCAGGTGGAGGGTGTAAGGATGCGCAAGGTGGAGAGGTGGAGGGCGGGTGAGGGCGTGGCTGTGAGGTGGGGCAGCGCGGATTGGGGGAGTCAGCGCAGGCAGGGGGTGGCATGTGGAGAGAAGCGTGGTTTGAGGTGAGGGGTGTGCGTGCGTCCGGGCGCACGTGCGTGTGTGTGTGTGTGCGTGTGTGTGCACATGCATGCACGGCTGTGTGTGCACGTGCGTTCAGGGTGCATCTAGGGGAGCAACCGCAGGGTGGTGTGGGTGGTGCAATGGCGATCGGGCCTGTGAGCTCCAGCAGGATCGAGTGGGGCTTGGGTGACGCTCCGAGAGACAGAGCCCGAGCGCCCCGGTGCCCTTGCCAAAGCAAGTCAACTTCGGTCAACCGCAGTCAAAACGCGGTCAAACTTGGGCGGAGTTCCAGGTGAGGCGCCCACCTGTCATGTCCAGGTGCAGTTTCGTGACACTGTCGCCCTCGTTGTTGCGGGGGTCAGCACACTCCTCCTCCCTGGGGGTCAAAGGGGTCGAAAAGTTAAAGGATAGCTGGATTCGAGGGTGGGCAGGCGGAATCCAAGAGGCAGAGGGATGGGAAGGGGACGGATGGCCCCGAAGGCCTTGCCCCGGCAGGGGTTAGCAGGCCGCGCAAACCTCGCTTGCAGAACCCTTGAGGTGAGTGGCTGGCGCGATTTTTGCGCGGCCGCCACGCCACCAAGGGGGTGGCCAGCTTCCAAACAACGCAGCGAGACCCTCATGGTTTGTGTGTGTGTGGGGCCGTTTGGGTGTGCGTGGGGGTGGCGTAATCACGGGAGAGGCCTGAACAGGGCCATAGGTGTCACAGGCGTGATTAGATATTTTCGAGACATTCACTTCTTGCAGTTTTGAGACCCAACACACGCGGTTCACCGCGTCTAGCCGGAGTTCAGTCCGGAGCCCCACAACAACAACATCTGCGAGTGCGAGTGCGCCCATTCCAGGGCGTGTCCTCTTGAGTTTGCCGCATCACATTTTCACATATTTACTTTATGGCTTGATCGCTTAGCCTCTCTTGACATGCGCTTCTGTTCTGCCCACGGGGCTAATCACTGCGGCCGCTTCTGTGAGTGCCACAGCACGCACAGAGCACGGTTTGCAAATCGGCTTGCATAAATTAATTTAACATTCTCTTTTGCCTCTATTCACGAACATAATACCTCACTCACGCCGGAGATGTCAATGACGCAGCACCGCAAGACCCTCAGGGCGTTTGTGCGAGAAAAGTCCAGGAAATATGCGCCTGATACCACATGAGGACTTGTGCACGGGCAAATGCCAAGGCCAGTGGCCAACCGCCGCGCTGCCCAACTGCATCCAGCCACGGCCAAGCTGCTGCAAAGCAACGCCCCCTTGCAATCGGGTCCTGAGGTGCCATGGCCGAGGGACCTCGCTGCAGAGCAGTTCCATGCCCTGT